CCCCCAAAGACCCTCCAGTGGGATCCCCAAGAACCTTCCAATGGCGTCCCCAAAGACTCTCCAATGAGGTCTCCAAACACCCCTCAAAGCCCCTCCAATGGGGTCCCAAGACCCTCCCAATGGGGTCCCCAACCCTTGTCCCACCCCACTGATGATGACCACGGCTGGACCCCCAAGTCCTGCCCTGAAGCTCCCCTTTCCCAAGGAACACCAGGAATAACCCCCCATCTTTCCTTCCCAGTTGGCTCTTCGGGGCCCCCCTGGTCCCATGGGATACACCGGCCGCCCTGGACCCATGGTGGGTATTGTCTCCAGGAGGGATTTGGAGTTTCAAGCAGGACAACGTTGGGATGTGGGATTTTGGGGGTGTCCATGATCCATGATCCATCATTTTCCCACCCTATTCCCAGGGGCAACCTGGCAGCACTGGGATAAAGGGAGAATCTGGCGACTTCGGCCCCCAGGTGAGTCCCAAGGATGGGATAAGGGGGGATCTTATCCCAGTGTGTGTGTGTGTGTTCCCTAAAGGTGTATCCCGATGTCTGGAATCTCATTCTTTATCCATAGGGACCACGAGGTCCCCAAGGCCTCATGGGACCGCCTGGAAAACCGGGTCGGAGGGTGAGTTGTGGGGCTGGAAGGGTTGGGAATGATGGGGATGGGGTCCTGCATCCCATTTCATCCCATTTTATCCCTCTTTATCCCCATTATATCCCACAGGGCCGACCGGGAGCTGATGGAGCGCGGGGAATGCCGGGGGATCCTGGTGTTAAGGTAACAGTTGGGATGGTCCCAAGTATCCCATTGGATCCTCTCCACCGTGGTTGTGGGACTCTGGGTGCTCAGCCCATGGTGGGATGGGGTTTGGGATCCTGTGGGATAAGAGATGGGGGTTGGGATATTGGGTTGGATAAGGTGATTCCAGGGGGTGGGATGGGATCCCCGGATCCCATAGGACCAATGCTGGGATGGGAATGTGGATCTTGGATTGAAAAAGGTGATTCTATGGGGTGGGATGGGGTCTGGGCATCCCATGGGATTAAAAGCCAGGATGGGAGTGGGGATATTGGGTTGGGCAAGATGATTCCATGGGGTGGGATGGGGATGGAAACAGATGGGATGGGGATGGGATGAAGTGGGATGGGGTGGGATGAGACGGGGATTGATGTGGGGCATCCCCCCCGCCCCCCATATTCCTCCATGTCTCCCTCTATGGGGCTGTTCCATGCTCCCAGTTGCTCCCAGCTGGCACCCAGAGGTCTCCTCCCACCCATGGGTGTCCTCCCCATCCCTATCTCCATCCATCCCCATCCATCAGCTCCATCCATGTCCCCTGTAGGGCGACCGTGGCTTCGA